GTAAAACCCACACTTATTAATAATTATTTTGTGTAAAAATTGAATTTTAAAAAGGATGAAAAAAGAAGCTCATCTTTTTAGGGTTTACTTATGATAATTTTTTTTTTATACAAGCGATAGTCTAAACTACAAGGGGGAGAGGGTTTCGCACACACACATACACTACCAAGGTATCATGGGGATTCAAAACTGAAAGTACTGATCTGCAAATGAAAGCTTTTTTCCATTGAGCTAAACCTAATTGGCTTACTTAGAAATTTTTGGGTTCAAATAAAACACACTTTGGGGAAATGGTAGATATTGACTCAGAATGCCATGCATATTCATTGAACACTTGTATTCCTATGAAGTACACAATTCATTGATTAGTCATAACTGATTATTTGTTTATAAAGTACTTTAAAATTTTAAATTACATTCTATGTATAGCATATATATTCTTCCATTTTTCTAACAGCCTAATGTTTCTTTTCTTTAAGAAAACATGGATTCTTAAAATCAAGTACATTCGAATATACCAACCAAGGGTGATATTCAAATTTTCAAACACTATTTAGGAAAGTTTATTATTAACGAATGCTCGATCCTACACTTGTACTTCAAAGTTGGATGGCATATAATATATATATTGTTTTGTTTTGAGAAAGCATATAATATTAATTACATGCTTATAATGAATAGTTTTAATGCGGTTTAAGAAATAATATATCTTCTTGACTGCATATGCTATCCTTTGAGTTGTTCAAATTATTTGGTAGTGTGATTAATTTACAAACAAACAATTAGTCACAAAATTCGAATTTATCTTATCAATGTTAGAACAGGTCCTAAATTCGAATTCCTAAACCCCACCCCATTTCCATTGATAAAAAAGAGGTGATTGATTTGTTCAAATTATCTCTACAACTCACAAAATTGGCGTCTCCAATTGAAATCAAAGTCATTAAAATACTATTGCATTTCACTCGTGATAACCCCAACATTTTGGACGTAAACTTCGCAACATCATCATGACACGAGCAGAGACATTGAGATTCCTCTTCTCCAAGATCATGTCTACGAGGATCTTAGAATTTGTTTCTACCTCCACCTGCTAGAAACATTTGTCAAGGCACACGCAAGCCAACGCACATTGATTCTACCTCCACACGCTTGTAGGAGACGGTAGAACGGAGACTGTTCATCTTTCCGGGTTAGCAAGGATGCGGGTTGTTAAATGGGTTAATAAGATTGTAAAAGTTTGTGCCGTTGGATTAATCCAACGGATGTCATGAAATTGTCGCTCACTAGTTAACAGACTTTAGAACATAAAAGAGAATTTGCTTAAATTAATAATTAAAGGGTATTTTAGGAATAATAGTGGGTGGAAAGATAGGATTGTGTTTTTTCAAATTTATATAGTGGGTGGGAAGATACAGATGAGTTGGAAAATAGGAAAGGGTGGGAAATAACAACAAGACGAAATTATATGCAACCTTTTTATTTTTATTTTCAAAATTATATGTCCTCCCTTTTTTTTTTTTTTTTTGACTCATATGCATATATATGAGTATTTGTTTTATGTCTTATTTTGTTTATAATTTTCCATAACTTCTTTGGCCAAAAAATTGATAAAATCAAGATATGACATTGAATTAATATTATTGTTATTAATACTTATACATAAGTTAGAGATGCATGGAACATCTCATGATTGTTGTATCACAAAAAAGAAAGAAAAAATTAATATATTATACATAAAACAAGAATTTCAAACATTGAATTAATATTATTGCTATTATTAGTTATTGAGAGAAAATAAATAATTATATTCATAAATTAGGCACAAAGGCCATCAGCCACACGGGTAAATATAAATACCCACTAAGAGGTAATACACATATGGAAGCATAGTAACCACGTATAGGCCACAAAAGGTCAGAGAAATTTTGACATAAAAGCCGCATGCATGAACAAATCAAGCATGAATTGGAGTGCCTAAATCTACCAATACAACTACAACTTTTAAACTCTCACAAGTACAAAATACAAGTAGAGACTAGAAAACAAACAAACACCAAACTCACAAGGAGTTGATGTAATTATTTCAAAATAAGAAAACTGCAAACAAACAACAATAATAAAACCAACAGTCACTACCACAGATGTTGCCTTCGCCACCACAGACGCCATGGCCGCCTTAGAGATAGAGAACACAATTTGCAACCACTCACCCTACAACAAAAACCAACCAAAAAATCACATATCCAAGCAAATCTTGGTGTTAAAAAAAAATTCAAAATAGATAACAAATAACCTCCCCACAATTAAACCCCAAACGCACTAGATGGGGAAGGGGAGAAATAAGTTGGGAAGTAAGGAGAGAGAGGGGGAGAGAGGAGGAGGAGGAGGAGGAGGAGGAGGTGTGGCCAACTCTTCCCTCCCCTTGGAACACACCGAGCAAAAAGAAGGTTAAGAGAGACAAGGGAGGCTTCAGTGCTCAATTAAGTTTTTAGTTATTATATTTGAAAAATGCTAATAGGCTGTTTTATTGCATAGTTTTTGCAGTTGAGTTTAACATTAAAAAACAGTAGTTCTTTTTTAATAGAAATGGATATACACAATTTTCATAAAGGACTAAGATTTGTTATCATTGTTCACAATCATATATAGGTTTAAAAAAAGGTGTTTTGTTCAACATCAATAGTTATGTGCCTCTGTCAGATTAGCTCTATATATAGTTGAGAGGGAAAACAACACTTTATCTTTCAATAACTACAAGTTTTGTATATTGAATTGATTGATGTAGCACACGTGGATAACCGATGTTAGGCATTTGCTCTAGATGAATTTTCAACTATAAGTACTGTTTATTAATTGATGTGGCACGTGAATGACCGATGCTAGCATTTGTCCTAGATCAATATCTAGACAATTAACTTAAAAGGAATGTATACTGATTTCTATATAATATTCTTGGCTTCCATGCATGCTCCAACTTATTACCAAGTTTGGTTTCCATGTTAAAAATCCAATATAATTAGCTACTTTAAAAGTCGATGCATTGATTCACACCTATATAAAAACTCAACTCTTTTTACACCCATAGTACTATAGTAGTACGGTTTACATCCCATGTTAGAGTTTAGAAGAAAAACAACTTGGATTAATTCTGTAGCATATTCTTCCATTTTCTAACAACTGAATATCTTATAATCGATTACTTTCTTTAAGAAAACATGGATTTTCAATAAAAACCATCGCTTATTCTAAAAAATATATATATTACATGTGGATTTTTCAAATTTTAAAAAAATCAGCATTTAATAGAGTCAATTTAAAAAAATTCAAACACTAAATAAGAAAGTTTATCCTCAAAGAATGCTCCATCATACACTTGTACTTCAGAGTTGGAAGACAAAATTAAGTTGATGTACATACATGTTAATTACAGGTTTACAATAATGAATATTTTAATATAATTTAGGAAATAATATCTGTTTTTGATACTAAGTTACTCAAGTAACAACTAGTTCTTCATTGTGTATGCATTAATCTATGCGCTGTAAAAATCATATATGCAAGTGTTTGATTTTTGGTTGATATTATCTGCATACAACTCATAACCAATTCAAAGTCCTTGTAATATCTAATGTAATATTCCTTGTAATAAGTCGCAGGATTTGTGCTTTCCACATATGGGGCCAAGCCAAACTAGGAAGAAGGGAAAAAGAGTGGGCTTCAAAACTCTTCAACATGTTAATTTTAATGAAAAGGATAAATTAATAGTTTAATTCAAATTCTATGTCTTAATTATACTAATGGAAAATTATCTTGTCAACTAAATTTCTTTTCAAATTATGTCTTTTAACAATTTTATTAACAAAATGATATTTTAATCACTAATGGGGGGCACTCTACCGGAAGTAAGGCTCCTGCTCCCGCTTGTGGTTGAGCTGGTACGGCTACTTTGTTTGCCCGACATCCAAACCCATTGGAGTAGTGACACTCGCCTAATTAATCCTTGACGACATAGCTTGATTTTTGTATTTGTTACTTTCCGTATTCAATAAATGCTATCGCCTTTTCTGAAAAAAAACAAAACAAAAACAAAAAAACAAAAGGATATTTTAATGAATTTTAAATTTATACATATATATGTTATACCAAAAGTAGGGGAAAAGATATATTAGGTTGTGACGGTTTGGTATAGTTTATGAACAACTAATTTTTTTGTTTAATTTTTTTTTGTCAGGGCTTAATCATACATATTAGGTTTTTTATTTTTATTTTTATTTATTAATAGGAAAGAGAGGAATAGAAATTAAAATCTCTTCCAATACGGGGATGAGAAGTATCCTTGTACTAAGTGCTAGTTGGTCCACACACATATTATAGGTTTAAAAAGAAATTATTTTCTCTATTGCATCAATAGTCATGTGCCGCGTGAGTTACTTTAAAACTCTATGCATCCATAATCGATGTGGCACATGTGGATGACCGTCACTAATATTCGCCCACTTAATTTCACACCTAACTAGATGGATGTATCTGAAATTGACTTCAGAAGGAAAGTGCACTGATTTTCTATAACAACATTCGTGGACTTTCTATGTAATATTCTTGGTATCCATGCATGGTGTAACTTATTACCAAGTATAGTGTCCCTGTTCAAATCCAGTATAAAGCTACTTAAAAAGTCGATGCACTGATTGCCACCTATATGAAAACTCAGTATAGAAGGTTGACAAGCATATCGGAATAAATTAGCCGGAATTATATGATACTTGCAAATTATGGAGTGAATGATATAATTATTGTGAGGGCAAGCTTGGCTATGAAGCCAGATCTCAGGAAAAGCCTACTCATCGCTTTAATCCTTTGCTATTATAGTGCATATTACAATAACAAAATGAGATTTCTTTCCAAACATGAACGATAAGGCATTAATTCAAACCCTTAATAAAAAGGAGTTGATGTCCCCAAATCTTTTCATCAAACCCAAAATTTCTATGCTCGGGATGGCAGAAGAACCCAGAATAGAACGTCTAAGCTCTACTTCTGAGGCTTCTAACATCTCAGCCGCCTCGGATGGCCCACCACCAACACAAAAAGATGGCCCTGAAAATCTTGACCAAAAACTGAAGATGAAATTAAAAGAGAAAATTGTCATCGATGATTCTGATGATGATGGTACTCAACAACCACCGCCACCACCATCCGTCAGATCCTCGTCGTCACCATCACCAAGTTCTCGGCTCCGACTTGATCTGAAGCTTTGCAACGACGACCCTGCTCGTGGGTCAGGGTCGTCATCATCGAGGCTTGAACTCAGCCTGTTCAACCCTTCCAACACAGGTTCTTCCAACCCAGGCTCATCAAACCCGGTCTCAAAGTACTCTCAACCCAACGAAACCATAGACGAAAACCCACGTGGCAGTGATGACAAAAGATCTCAACCTAGGGTTTTCACATGCAACTTTTGCAAGAGGGAGTTCTCTACTTCCCAAGCATTGGGAGGGCATCAAAACGCTCACAAACAAGAGCGTGCCTTGGCCAAAAGGCGGCAAGGAGGACTTGAAAATATGGGAGGTGTCTTGGGACATTCACCATTTTCTTATTACAACCCATATTCAAGTCTCTCATCACCCTCTCTCTATGGATCTTTCAATAGATCTCTTGGGGTTAGGATGGATTCCATGATTCACAAACCCTCTTATCCATGGTCCTCAAACCCCAACTTCGGGCGGTTTGGCCATGGTTCTGGGGCATGGTCATCTAGGGCTGGAGGCCTCGTTAACTTCCAATCCACTATTGATAGACTCAACCTGGAGAGCCTTCATGCTAATGCTCCCAGTGGAATATTAGGGCTTCCAGGAACTAGCAGCGCTCAAAGGTTTGATCAGGAAATTGGTGCTGTTCGCAACTTTGGTGGTTCGAGTTCAAATTTTGGAATAAACAGGCCAATCCTTAGTGATCTTATCCGCCACGAGCCTCCAACATCCGATACCGATGCTGCTGGCCTAGATCTGTCTCTTAAGCTTTAGATTTATTGTTGTTTGCTGTAGTTATTTTTTATTTTAATTTATGTAGTACACAGTGCGTGATTTGAGTTTGATTAGATCTTATAGTTTTTTTTAGTTTTTTTTGGTATTTCCATCCACAGATCTTTTGTATTGTTATGAAAATGTTGAATAAAAATAGTCGATGTGCTTGTACATGTATTTGATTGGGTTTTAATGTTTTTTTTTTTCAAATTAATTAATTAATTCAGCATCTGGCTTATAACCCTTTGGTGTTTGATGTGTGTGCTATTTAGGAAGATGCAAGCATGATGCAATGCAAAGCAGTCCACACTGTTTTAATTAGCAGAACTGAATGTAAATTCGATGATGGGAATATGCAAAAGTCATCAGTAAAGCGAAGACACAAGATTCTCAACTTTGCACATATTGAATGACAAATTAACTTATGAAAAGTTTTCTTGTCCATTAGCATGTTAAACACGTCCTACATAATAATGACAAAAAGAAAAGGAGATAAACTGTCCCTTTGTCTTGTTGCCCTGTCCTGAAAGAATCCCATCAGAGAACCAGTTAATCATATACAAAAACTAGGCATAGTAAACACACAGGCTAATGCTATACAAAAACTTTCACAATTAAACCAAAAAACAAATCATAAAAGAAGTAAGAATCCAGGAGTAATGACTAAATCTGATATTCCCAGAGAAACGGTCTCTAAAGAAAAATTGTGAAAAAACAATACAGAAAAAATAGAAAAGAAACCATTGACATATTTTTTTTACAGGAATATAACTAGAAACTATATCATTTCTATTATAATCAATGTTTTAAAAGGCGAGGCGGCGATGCGTTTTTAGTCCGCTATGCGGGGCGTAAGCTTTTTGAACATTAATGTATTTTAATAAAAAAAATTATAAATAATAATACAGATAAATTGTACTACTAATTCTTATTGAGCCAGAATATTCTATAAAAAAATATAAGTACTAAATATCATTCAAGCATAATAGTCAATCTTAGAAGTAGGGCTTAGACATTTTACTCTGGGTTCTTCAGCCATCTTGAGCATAGAAATTTTGAGTTTGACGAAAAGGTTTGGGGACAACAACTCCTTTTTTTTTTAAGGGTTTGAATTAATGCCTTATCATTCATGTTTGGAAAGAAATCTCATTTTGTTATTGTAATATACACTATAATCCTATATTGGAAGAGATCTTAATTTCGATTCCTCTCCTTCCTATTAATCAAAAAAATAAAAATAAAAAACCAAATATGTATGATTAAGCCTTGACAAGATGATTTTTCATTAGTATAATTAAGACATAGAATTTGAATTTAACTATTAATTTATCCTTTTCATCCTTCTTATGCCTTAATACCTCTTGTTAGAAAAAAAAAAAAAATCGGCAATCAATTTTGAAAACATCAAAACATCAAAACATCAACGGGGCATTGTAGACATTTTCTTTTTCAATCAATAACGTATTAGTTTGAGCAAAAAAATATAAAAACTCATTCAAGATTTATGAGAAAGAGATTATGGGAACATTTCTCCCATTAAGAGAAGGCTCATTTTCTGGAACATGAAATGAGGCTGAATATATTATGTCATTCCTCTACTACCGACATCTGCAGCCTCAGATAAGTTGGTTTGGCATTATTCCAAGAAATATATTCCGTACGTTATGGTTATATATTTGGGACTCCATAATGACCACCCAAAAGAGTATCTCTGACCATTTTTCCTTAAAATGGTCAACTTCATGAACCATTTTTTTAATTAACGGAGCATAACATGGCAACACAGTATACATAAAAGAAAAAAGAATTACACAAGCGAATAATTATAAGGCTTTTTATCATAAATGGTTCATGAGGTTTACGAAATTATCACATTTCGTCCCTAACGTATTTTTGTGACACTAATGGTCCTTAAGGTTACCCTCCACACATCAAAATGGTCCCCTGCTGTTAGCTTCTGTCAAATTTTCTATTAAACTACTTATGTGGCACATGTGTGGAGCCCACACATCCAATGTTATAGAGCCACATGTTTTTTTTTTTTAGGACCTTTCCTATTGAGAGGGGCGATAACATAACTCACACACACTAATACGGATGCTAGGGCTTGAACCTAGGACCTCGCCTGAGGGAGTAAATACTCCAAATCACTACACTAGTGGGTCATTTGCAGCCACGTGGTTTTAAATATAATATAATATATTTTAAGTATTTTCTAAAACTTAAAATTCAAAAAAAAAAATTAAAAGCAACTTAAATCTTTTTATATATTTTTAAATATATTTCATGCTCTGTTCAGAGGGGGGGGGG